CTAGGAAATATGTATTAATGTAACGAATTATATCGCTTTAAGTAATTTTAAGTAATGTGATCGTAAATTTGAATAAAAGTCTTATAAAATACCAATTGAGTTATTACTACTACTAATATTATTGCGCTTATCGTATTTTTGTACTTATTCTATTTAAATATTACATACTGTAAAGATATATTATTTTGTATCTAATTGACTATTTGTACGAGATTATTTTCGTATGGTACCTTTCATTCAATAAGGGTACATACACAGGATATTTCATCTAACTTGACCTCTTTTTCTAGATTTCAAGGTCATCGAAGTATTTTTGAACGGGACTACATATTTATATGACAACAATCTTATAGCTCATAAAAAACAAATTCAATGATGTCCAATATATTGACCTTCGCGTGACCTTCAACGAGAAAATCGTGAAATGTTTGCCATTAATTTCAATACTCGTTCGGGGACGGTAAATGATAAAATCTCAATTTCATTGGAACAATGTGTCGTGTAATTATTCCTCATGCTCATAAACAGACGTTCGTATCCTCCTTTTATCGTTTGAAGTATGATTACACGCATCATATCAAAGCGATAATCCTAGCAGCCGATTATCGCTTTACAATCAGTATCAAAAGCTTATCCATCATGTACTATGTATTGCGGCATTAGACAAAATTACAGAAAGTGGATGAATTAACATTTTTAGATACTAGTGGTCGTAGAAATTTTTCTACTTGAAATCATTATTTAAGTATGTGTAATTACCCTTGCATTGATTATTCTACCAATCTATTTTTATTTGTTAGATTTGCATTTTGTGTGTAATATTATATTATCTTCCACATTTCTTTCTCCATTTACTACATATATAAATTCTACAATAATTTTTATTTTAATACGTTAATAAATTGTATAAATACTTTATAATAAATTTTGACATAAACAATCTTATGCAATTTGTAGATGTGTTTCTTTATGTTACAATCATAATATTTCATAGGATTAATTTATATCATAGAATATCAGAAATAACTATGTAACGTATAATAAATAATTACGAGCATGTATCAATTATATAATAGTTCACATTAACTTTTATCACTTAACCTTTCCAACCTGTTGGGGAAAAGATTTTTTATTAATTATTAATTAACTTCGATAGAAACATTTTTTCAAATTATTTTATGAAGAAGACATAATATATTAAATTTTGAGACCAGTTTTACTAAAATCAAATACATTCATCTTCAGTTTATTAATAATTTATATAAGTATACAACACTGCGAGTACGCAAGATCGAGCGTGAAAGGCTTGCAATTCATTGAATATATAAAGTTCGTACTAATATTGTATATTTATTAAGCCTTATTCACAGTTTTTTCCGTGAAATATTTTCCAAAATCTGTCAGATTGCTACATTAGTGTTTCTTAACGTTTCTATTAAACACAATGCTTTCAGCAAACTCCATCTTCTTAGAGTAATATTGTTCCCGCCGTACTAACGACTCATAATAATAGTCAACGAACGAGTGGTGATGTGGAGACGTTTTTTCTGACGATCTACCTTAATGTGGTCTACAAACTTAGAAATGCGCTCCTGAAATGTTTCCTTTCGCGACAGTATACTTTAAAAGTGTGGTACACAAGGGCGGAGTCCTCTCCCATTATCCCTGTCAATGTCCTTGCGGTTTTTGAGTAAATAACCAGCCGGAATAACAGTAATTTTTCTGTCGAAAGTCTCCTTTGGTTATTTCTCGGTTTCAGAACCGCAAAAGACGTAAATCAACGGAAATCGATGCATCATTGAATACGCAAGTACAACAAGATCTGCGGTTAAATATAACACATTTACATACGTGCATATGTATAAGTAACCCAGTATCTTTAATCTACATATTTATAGAAAAATTGTAGCAGTTAATGAATTGATTATATAGATATACTATACGGCAATATTATTTTTTGTATGTACATAAAATATCTACATTGGTTTTCGTAATATTTACGTCTCATAATTATAAATATTTTTATAAATGGTGATCTTATACATGATATTTATATAAGAATGGATATATTTAATTATATTATAAAATTAAATTAATGAGCATATATTATTGCAAATACAAAGAAAGTATTAAACATTACGATACTTTATATTTTCTGAATATTTATCGTATTATTGTACAATATAATTCATTAGCTTTGCTGGTTGGCTCTGCAGAGTCAGTAGTAAATGTAATATAAATATTAAATAAAAAAGGAAATAATTCATTGATATAGTTATTTATTAATTAAATAACTCAGATCTTCTATTTAAATATTGTAATAGCTTTAAGTTTCTTGAACCCAATTTTTGATTATAAAATTATAAAATATAAAAGCTCTACTTTTCAAAAAAATCAAGTACATATTTTGAAAACATCGAAAGAATAAAGAAGTATAAATTAATGTTTATAATTATTATATAACATAAAAATGTATCCAGTTAATATTTAGTCATGCCGGTACTAACATCTTACTTAATTGAAATTATGGATCTAAAATTTTGAAAATCTTAGGTCGTTCATTTTGAAGAAAAAATGCGTATATATAATACAGTATGTTGCAATTCTTCATAAAATACTTATATTTTCAGTTTGTTAAATAAATAAATACCATTTTAATGAAAGCCTTTCTTGTAATTCGTTAAAAAATACAATTTTTACTTAATAAATATTGTATTGTAATTTTTCTATACATAAAAATTTTACATAGATCATTAATTACCACCTATCGTAGGATGCAATCAATCCCATTATTGCCTTTAACTTTTTAATTAATTCTTGAAGGAAAGAATATACTTACTTTGTGATGTGTTAGTCATTACAAAATCACAAAATTTTGATTGCTAAAAAGTAACATACAAATTTTTGAAGAATCAAAACGGAACACGAAGCATTTGCTGTTTGTCATATTATGTATATATAATTGTCATATTATGCAATTTCTGCTCTATAATAACTTTCAAACTTTGATACTAGTAAAATGAAAGCTTAATACTATTTTAATCCAAATTAATCCAAAAATTTATATATTTATCAATTTAAAAATTAATTAATTTAAAAATTGCTATCAAAATACAAAAGCGTAAAAATATTAGAGTAATATGTATATACAAAACACAAATGTTATTTTACATATTATAATGACACTTCACACAGTTAAAATTCCGATAAAATATAATAATATACTTAGCTTTCAGTAGTTTTTAAAAAATTGAGTACTAATGTTATTTATCTATACAATTAATATAAAAAAGTTTCCAATTCCAAGAAATAAATATTAAAAGTATATGTTAATTCTTCATTTGTACTTTTATATTTAAAATATATTTATACAAAATATTAAATTTGCAGATTCCTATTAAAGATAATGCCACTAATCATATAAATGTTATATCAAAGTCCTAGATAAGTTTTAGCAATTTCAATTTTTAAAAATTCTTTCACTTTCATCTACTAATAAATCATAGAGCTGTGGTTTCAAGTTGCGTATTCGATCGAGTAATTTATCAATTATTTTTCTTAACTCAGTGATTCTAATGGTGAGAATAAAGAGACACCTTTATATCGAACGACAATGCTCGATTTGTGCCGTGAATTTGCTCTTCGTATCAATGTAACAAGACATCAGTGATCAAACGTAGCGATAACAACACGGTGAATGATAACATTCTTTGTGCTTTCGATTACATTTTTCAATAGTCTACGATAGCTGCAGTTGCATTTATCCAGAATTTTAAATAACTAGAAATTTCTCTATGTTTAAATTTTATATTAAATAAATATCATATCGACATGTATAAACGAATTTATAAATGATATTCATTGTACATTATATTTCATATAGTTTCGTATATACAATATTGAAAATTTACATATTTAACTTGTGAGAAAAAAAAGCATTCTTCTTTAGAGCTTTTTTTACAATTTAGTGGTAACATATTTTTCTATCATAAATGATTACTATACAACAGTAATATAACTATCTAATTTAACATACCTCAGAATAATGTTAAAATGCATAATAAGATTATGTAATTTATGTAACTCAATGCTTCGTCTACCCAATTATCTATCCAATTAATTAAAATACTCTAGAATAAAGATTTATGAATTTTAAACACTCTATGAGTCACCGTTGCTATTCCTATGCAGTAAAACTTTACGACTGAAGTGATTGATACCTGTCCAATTGAATTATACCTAAAACTATCGGATCTGTTAGTACAAACAATTAGTAACAGCAATATAACTGAACATAAAATGGCAGTCGTTGAAATTCTTTTCATGAATATGCAGAATATTGATTTTTCGATCGATATTTGTTACAAGTGATAGGTGCCGTTACTGTACAACAATGAGTATTCAAGGATTTTTCATCGGATTTAACAAGATTATAAACGCATTTATACCTTTCTCTGGGATGAAGTCAGGTCTAACTTAGGTTTCGTGAAAATTTCTACCGACTGCAGCTCAAATAAATAAGTGTACAATTCCATAGTTTCCTAAGGATATTATCTTTTGCTTCAACATTTATTATGATGTTGCTTTCTAACATGTTACGTTACGTTTAATGGAACTTCGTCGTTTAATGCAATCAAAGATGAAGCTTACAGAAATTTGAACATTAATAAATATCAAAAAAAAGCTCCTTGTTAATACTGGTAAAAATAGCACTGAGTAGAAGCATAATTTTGGATATTCTTTCGAATTGTTTGTTAGTAAATAACGGAAATAAAAATTTTCTAAACATTAGAGGAGGTGAGAGACACAGGAAAATAATGAGATTTGTATTCTGTATTATTCGTAACGTTGTTCAATATATTTAACGAATTATTTTTTATTATCTATTTACAAGAAGGTATCAGCTTGATGAAATTTTGTGATAAAAGTTTAGTCCAATGTGAACTATGTGCACACTAATGAATGAAATTTATCAGTTCTAATTTTGTTTGTTATGTGCATTATGTACAATATTATTACAAATCACTATAATACAATCAAATATTTCACAATGTGTCTTTCAAGGAAATCTCCTTTAAATAATAACGTGAAACAATTTAAATATCTTATTTCTCTGATACACCCATTAAGTATCGATTGGATCATTAACATTTTTAACTTCTATAACATTTATAAACTTTACAACAAATCACTTCTTATAATACTAACACCTAATATCTTAAAACGTTTCTTATCGAATCTTTCTCAATGCCGCAACATAACATTCTTCTAAAAATAGAAATATAAGAATAAATTGATTTATCTGAATGGAACACTGGTCAAGTTATGTTTCCTACAAAATATTAACCACACTTGTAAGGCACTCAGGAATGCTTCATCCTTTGAGAATGTCCAAACGTTCGATTTTTCTTAACGACGAGATATGACATTTCTATACTCGTACTTTCTACCCTAATAAGCATTTTTGAAAACCCGTTTTATACGTACTAGATTAAGTAATCTTTACTCTAGTACAAAGAATTACCATTAATCTAATAATAAAAACGACATAATTTTCTCGTCTCGTATAGTTACATCTGTACAATATTGATATGACTAGATCACAGTGGATAGAAACAGCCGCTATTTATCGCCTCCTTTTGGCCCTTTCTCCTACTCGTCAACTCTTTCACTTCTGTAACATAAAAATGAACAAATTTTTTATGTTAACGTACCATTCGTGATTATCGTATATTAGACTAAAACAGATTCTCGATCAGAAGATAAAATGCTTTAATTTCTTCAGAACAATACATGTGTGGTGAAAGTTAATTTTCAAATTGATTGTTTAGTTGGTTATCTAACATTTATTTCTTCATTATTGTTAATATCACTAAGTGTTAATATCACTGTAAACTACGGTGAAATTTTCACTTGGGAATTATTTTTACTTAGGTCCCAGATTTCACGTTTACTTCACAAAATATCGATATTGATGAAAACCACGTAATGCTACTTTATAAATTTATTCGTGAAGAAATTGAGATTGTCGAAGATCGGTAAGGAGACACTACAGGTATATAAGTGAGAGAAGCAGGGGATGATTTCAGGTAAGGGCAGTTTTACTGGAAGGGACTGGCTCTTCATAGTAGAACGAAAACGAACAAATCTGTAGAGACGGTCGGGAAGAGAGAAAGACGGAAGAATAGCGTACCGGTTCAAAAACCTACAAAAGGGGGACTGAAATATCCTGAAAGATGCATTCAGGTTAAACGCAGCAGACGAAATCGTCTCTTGTCAAAGAGAAAAAGAGAGAGAGACTAGTCAGAGAAAATAGAGAGGAAAGAAGAACGAGCCGAGAAACAGAAGAAGATAGAAAGCAAGGAAAAGATCCGCGGGAAGAAACGTTAGAAGCTTCAATGGAACGTCGGAAAAAGTTATGTCTATCAAGATTAAAGTTGAACTTGGATAAACGATCAACGTTTCTGTTTAATCTTCAAGGGTACGTGGGTAACTCGATGTCCTGAATAAAACGAATACACGTCCGACTCGTATTTTTTAATATAATATATAACACATTTATTTTGTATTATCATACAAATGCAAAAATATAAATTTTGTTAATTAAATTATGGAAAGAAAATTATAGTAGTTATTACGTTGAAATTTTCTTTCTGGTATGGAATGTACCATTGATGATGTGCGTTCTAGATAAATGTGACAGAAATTATATGGACAACAATAATATCTGAAAATGAGGGTAAGATATTTGAAGAAAGCGAAACCGAGGGAAATGGATACTCGTATTTTCTCGTAACGGGATGTTGTTAAGCTTTCGCAGAAGGTGGCAAAATTTTCAGAAGAGACGAATTGGACGACTCTAAAAGTTGAAGAGTGAGGAGGGATGAAAAAACGGTAGAAGGACCGGCACACATATACTGGTGGTGACATGCGTGTTAGTACACAGTGAAAGAAATCGGGCACAAAAGCGTCGCTTCTAGAATGTATACTCGGTGGCCCTCTGAATGGAGTCTGCGATTTGAATGGCTGGAGTTTCAGCGAGGGGTCGCGCGCGCCATTGTGACGGGGCAAGGTCACAAATCTGGTCGGAAATTTCTTTGAACTTCCTTGGTAACGCGGATGTTACCTCACGAGCAAAATTTACGGTCGTTAAGGAGCGAGGGAGGTGAGAAACTTTTTTAGAAAAAAGTTCTGAATATGACGCAATGTTTCTTTTCAACTGAGCGTTTGAGTTTGTTTCCATATCAGTTTTTGCAAGAAATATTAAACAACAGTTCTATATTAAAGAAAAGTAATTAGAAATGACGATAACCTTTTTTTAATTGATTCTTTACAGTAAACAACCACTTAATAGATAGTAAGACATAGTAGATAATTTTATTTCGTTGAAAAGAAGCATTTTATCTTTTGCTTGAATTTCATAATCGAAAAATATTGCTAGAGCACGTAAATATAATTAATACTAAACTAAAATATAAATTAAGTGTATTTACTAACATTAATTATTACAACACGTCTCATTGAATCAATTTTAAAATTTCAAATATTGATACGACTAAAAAACGTACTGAATAATAGAAAGAAACTGAACAAACAAATTACGACACTAACCTTTGTGGTGAAGAATGGATCCAAATCGGAACCGATGTAGACACTGATTTTCTCATTGACTTTGTTGCCACCAGGAGATGACATCCAACAGCTCTTCGTCTTCGGGACTCATAGGCTCGTAATTATCATAACCATCGGAATGTGTCGCATAAAGAGTACCCGATGTTCCGTACCCTTGACTGCCAGCTGATGACGCTTCGGAAACAAAACTCGGCGTTGGCGAACTCGAAGCTTCGGAACAAGGTGCTGGTACAAATGTTGGGCTAGGATTTTGCCGTAAATGTTGATGTCGATGCAAGTCCGAGCTACTATGATGCCGGAGTTCATTGTTGACATTGCTACGAAGTCTCAACTCGGGAGAATGGTGACTGGATTCAACGTTGATTCCATTATTGGAACTACACGTGGATGAGGCGGAAGAGGTCGACGAAGGTGATGACGACGTTGGCGAAGATACACTCGTGACATCCGAACCACTGTCGTGTTCTTCCAGAAGACGTTGCAGACTCCTGATATACTCGACTGCCATCCTAAGTGTTTCGACCTTCGATAGCTTTTTACTACCGGCTCTAGATCCGCCGTGCGTGCCAGCTGTATTTCCTCCAAGAGCTTGCGCCACGCTTTGAGGTATATGCTGCCTCAAAGTGGCGAATCCATTATTCACCTGCTTAACACGATTTCTTTCTCGAGCGTTCCGCCTCGCAACCGAAGCCGGTTGATGAGGAACCGTGCCATAAGGACCGGTCGTCTGACCGTAAATCTTGGATCGCTTGCAACCATGTTGTTGAATCTTGATGTCATTAGCCGGCATACTACTAGTGGAAACAATCACATTGCTGCGATGAGTTTGAGCACTGGTTGTTGAAGAACCGTGAAGATTGTGGTGATGATGCTGTTGCTGTACGCTCAACATGATCGGTAATACGTTCCCCTCCTTCGATTCCACTAAGGTCATATCACTGATTCGATCCCCCCCACTACGAGAGCAGGAGTGCGCGGCAGCGCGTGCCAGATGACCTTGAGAAATAGAATCCTCGATGTGCTCAAAGTACTAGTTTGCAAACCGAGTACTATGACGCTTCCCTCTCTAACGAGCCCCCTTCTTTTACAACACCTTGGTTGAATACGCACGACGCGTCCAACGAATGTAGTAGAATACAAACAATAAAACACGTTCAAAACGAGACGAATGATTACGTGAATTAGGAAAGTTGAAAATAAAACCGCACCCTTGATGCTAACGGTACGGACCTGGCTCCCGAAATGCCTTACTAAGAAGGGTTCGAGGCCTTATATAGCCAGGGCGGGCACGCGCCTATCCCCTCCATTGGGCCTCATACTCGATCTCGGGCCCTAAACCCCCATCTTCTCCCCCTCTTTCCCACCCTACTGGCTTGCAGCGCCTCATACCCCTGTACGTCCCCACCACTACCTATCCAAAGGCCCTACAACGCCCGAGATTCTCATCTTCGTGAATCGCCCTCATGCTTTTGCGTGTCCGGTCGATTCTATTTACTGATTTGGATATTTAAAGATGATACCCCTCGCCGTTATCGGCAAGATAACTTAACTTGTGGTTCTCGTTTCTCGGAAGTTGTAGCGTGCTCCGGATTTTATTTTAGTTGCGCATTTATATAAGCTCGAAAGTCTATTTCTATGATATATGTACATACGAATAACATCCATAATACGTGATAGTGATAATAATAATTATATTATTAAGCGCATACATAGAAGTTTTTGCGAATTAAATGAAAAAGACAGAACGTTATACTATTTTTGGTTATAATCTATATTTTTATGTGATAAGTAAAGTATTTGACAAGTAGAATTTAGAATTATTTTGCTTCGCGCATCGTCTTTATACTAGAAATTATTCGGTCATTTATTATAAAATTTGAAACATTAATTATCAATTCAAATTTCAAGCTCAATCTTTTAATCAATTAGCAAATACGTTTAGATAATATTTTAGGTCCTAGCCTTCCAGATTCAGTGTGTTTAACTCTTCCGTTGATATGTATGTTTTCGAATCTCAAGTCACATTGCAACGATCCCCGAAAATTTGTGTACGCGTGAGAAACACTGGCACGCACGCAAGAAGGGTCCACATCCCCACCGACTGGCCGGTGTCTCAGGGATCGAAATTTGAACAGTTATATACTGGGAGAAAGAAAAGCTGGTCCAGAGACCGAACGAGCTGGCCGAGAGAGATACGTGCACGTACTACGGCCAAGTCAAAAAGAGAGGAATCGTGGAGAAAGAAAAGGGAGATGCATGGCGAAGAAGACGAAGTAAGAAGAGGAACGGGAGGAGGAGGGGGTGGCGGCTGAAGAGATGCTACATTGGAAAGAAGGTACTAGCCGCGCGAGTGGAGTAAGGGGGTACGCAGGATATGTGGGCCCGAATGGAGGTAGGGAAGTTGGGGGCAGCAGCGTTCTGGGCATACTGGCAGCGGCGAAGAGGGCAGGGGGTGGAAGACGTGAGCCGTTCTCCCCACCCTCGTGTCGTGGCGCGCGCCGACCCCCATCCATCGACTACACACTCCCCACCAAACATTCGGTTTTATCCGCTACGTACGAAGCGTGCGCGTGCATGCATGCATGCGTACGTACGTGCGTGCGTGCGTGCGTGCGTGCGTGTACTAGGGCGCACGCGTGCTTGCCGGGCCTCGTGCTTAAGGGGAGCATGTACGGGGAGGATGTGCGCGCGCACAGCGCG